TCCTTTAAAATATAATTATTTTATTAAGATAAATTTAATATATAACAAATAAGAATAATAAGATAAAAAAATGACATAATAAAACCTAATAAAAGATAAATTATAAATAAAAAAATATTAGTTATTACGAAGATTTACGTAAAATATTTAGAAAAAAGATAAAGAAAAAGAAAAATTAACTTTATATTTATGAAATTGGTTGAAAAGATTGAAAACAAAAACAAATTGATTTGAGAGATTAAATAAATGTAAAAAAGTGAAAGGTAAGAGAAAAAAAATATAATGAATTAATTTATATAAAAGATTAAAAAAGACAAAAGAATTAAAAAATGGGTAGAAGAAAAGTAAAAATAGTAAAATATAAAAAATTAATATTATATGTAATGGAAAAAGAAAAAAAATACTTTTAAAATATTAATATTTTAAAATTCAAATTTAATTATAAAGTCAAGACGGGACCGAGACTTTTTAAAGCGAGAAAAACCCGAACTCGCCTCGTCCCGCCTCGCCCCCATCCTCGGTTAACTCAATTTTTCCCTATCAAACTCGAAACAGGAACACATCAATCCTCGTAGATATGAGTTTAATGATCATCCCTAATTACTTTCATGTCAAAAATTCAATATGTTAATTTTGTAATTATTACCATAGAACTAATCATAAAATACATATTCATGTTGGTAAACCATAAATGGTATCTATGAAAGGTGTAAAACAAAACGTCATTTTCATCCAATCGTAAAGTCTACTGGGTAACCAAATGTGAAAGGGTACGAGAAGGGAACCAAGTTGTTATTTCAAATGTCTTATAATAGACACATTATTCATATTAAAAGTAACAAAGCATAATGTGATGATAAGATGATCATATTTACATCAGATATGTCAAACCAAATGTCATGTACAATTAATCGTGTAATGTCAACGGGATAATCATATATGGTAGGTAAGAAAAACAAGATAAAGTTGTTCTTTCACATGTTTTCTAATAGACACGCTATACAAACCACTTTCCATATTAAAAGGTATGGAGTACAATGTGATGATAAGATGACCAAATAAATAAAACAAAATGTTATGCTCAGTTAACCATGTAAAGTAAAGGACGTAACACTTAAACCAAAGGACACACAATAATTACTCTAACAACATACATATACTTAATTATTTTAACACTTTTTCTCAAGCTGAAACATACAAATTGTATGTACCAAGCTTGAAACAAATGAAATCAATTTGAGGTCCCCTTAAGAACTTGGTCAACATCTCTACAAGTTGGTCATTTGACCCAACTGATGCAATGTGGAGAATAACCTAGTTATCGCAGTACATTTTCATGGTCTGGATTTCACAGAAGAGATGTCATTGCCCTATATTCAACTTCAGTAGTTGATCGAGCCACTATATTTTGCTTCTTACTTTTCTAGGAACCAATATTTCCTCCAAGGAAAACACAATATCCTATAGTAGAACATCTGTCAGTGGGGGATTCTGCCCAATTAGCATCACAGTACCCAGAGATTTGGATACTTCCTTTATCTTCATATAGTAGACCTTGTCTTGGAGTATTTTTGAGGTATCTTAAAATGTGAACGATGACATCCCAATGGCCAATACATGGAGCCTGCATGAACTGACTAATAACTTCAACTGCAAAAGATATATCAGGCCTCATGATAGTAAGATAAATTAGTTTTCCAACTAGCTGCTTATATTTTTTTGGGTTAGGGAATGATTCACCTTCTTTTGTCTTTAATTTTTTATTTTGGTCCATAGGACTATCTACTGGCCTACTGTCAAACATACTTATCTCTTATAGGATATCAAGAGCGTATTTTCTTTGAGAGATTACAACCCCATCTTTTAACTTCCTCAATGCCCAAAAAATATTTAAGACTCCAAGATTTTTGGTTTGAAAATGTTTGCAAAGGTACTTCTTCAGTTGAAATATTCCAGCAATATCATTTCCTGTAATGACTATATCAACATAAACTATTAGATAAATGCATTTCTCAAGAGAGGTATTTGATGTGAACATGACCTATGATAAGGGCTAGAGCAAGGGAAACAAAGAAAGCTTTTCAACAAATATTGTTGGTTGGCCAAATTGTGTTTTGGATTAATCAATTAATGGGATTTAGTTTAGTTTTATTGCAAGTTGTAATAAGGGCCCAATTGGAAATTTAGTTATCAGTCTTTGGGAGACCAAGAGGGTGCATAGCTGATTGACTTTTGGATGCCACAATTTCAGTTATAATCAATCATTAAGTAGTTTTCAATTCTTAGGTTAATAAATCATTATTAGCATTTATTTTCCTTTAATGAATATTTGTAACTCTGATGGCAAAGCTTCTTTATAAGTTGAACCATTTTTATCAGAAATAACAAGTTGAGTTTTATTTTTGGAAATATTAGAGTTTATCTCTTTTATCTTAGTGAGAGTGATTCTCCTAAATTCTTGAGTGATTCAAGAACCCTTGGCTGTATCAAAGGACTGTCACATCCTTTGTGTGTTTCCTCCCTTGGAAAGAGTGATTCTTTCCTTCCACCTTCTTTCTAATTTCTAAATTTCTTACAAGGTTTTAACCCTAAAGATCCTAAATTACCCCTTGTGATTCATATCAGTTGGTATTTAGAGCCCCGGTTTAAAGGTTTGAACATCAAATTGATGGAAGAGGAGAATAAAAAGAAAATGAGAGAAAAATTTCTTCAAGAAAAGAAAGAAAAAAAGAAGAAGAGTGAAACACGTGAAGTGAAACATAGCTATTTAGCCATAAAAAGTGAGTATAATGTTAGTTCTACATTCAATTTATCAGACTTATCTCTTTTTTATGTAGATGATGAATCCGATTTGAGGACAAATCCTTTTCAAGAGGGAGAGAATGATGTGAACATGACCTATGATAAGGGCTAGAGCAAGGGAAACAAAGAAAGCTTTTCTACAAATATTGTTGGTTGGCCAAATTGTGTTTTGGATTAATCAATTAATGGGATTTAGTTTAGTTTTATTGCAAGTTGTAATAAGGGCCCAATTGGAAATTTAGTTATCAGTCTTTGGGAGACCAAGAGGGTGCATAGCCGATTGACTTTTGGATGCCACAATTTCAGCTTATAATCAATCATTAAGTAGTTTTCAATTCTTAGGTTAATAAATCATTATTAGCATTTATTTTCCTTTAATGAATATTTGTAACTCTGATGGCAAAACTTCTTTATAAGCTGAACCAGTTTTATCAGAAATAACAAGTTGAGTTTTATTTTTGGAAATATTAGAGTTTATCTCTTTTATCTTAGTGAGAGTGATTCTCCTAAATTCTTGAGTGATTCAAGAACCCTTGGCTGTATCAAAGGACTTTCACATCCTTTGTGTGTTGCCTCCCTTGGGAAGAGTGATTCTTTCCTTCCACCTTCTTTCAAATTCCTAAATTTCTTACAAGGTTCTAACCCTAAAGATCCTAAATTACCCCTTGTGATTTATATCAGTATTATAAAAACTGAATGATCTGCTTCACTGCGTTTTAGCTCAAACTTTTGAACAACTGATCTAAATTACTAGACCAAGCGCGTGGTGATTACTGGAGACCATAAAGAGAGTGGCGCAACTTACAGACCATACCAAACTCCCCCTGAGCAACAAATGCAAGAGGTTGCTTCATGTATACTTCTTCTTCAAGATCGCCATGTATAAAAACATTTTTTATATCCAATTGATGGAGTGTCCAATGATGAATTGTTGTCATGCAAAGAAGAGGCTATAAATTTGAGTGTATTCTTTTGCAACTAATCGTGTCTTCAGACAATCAACTTTATCACTAAGACCAACTTTAATGGTATAGACCCACAAACACCCAACATCCTTTTCCTAGGCACACTCTAGGTACAATTGAGATGAAAGACCAAAGGACACACAATAATTACTCTAACATACATAGACTTAATTATTCTATCAGTAACCATATATGGTAGGTATGAAAAACAAAACCAAATTGTTCTTTCAAATGTCTTCTAATAGACACACTATACAAATCATTTTTCATACTAAAAGGTACAGAGCACAATGTGATGATAAGTTGACTAGATAAATAAAAGAAAGCATCTTGTTTAGTTAATCATGTAGTTAAGCGGGTAACCATATATGGTAGGTATGAAAAATATGACCAAATTGTTCTTTCACATGTGTCCTATATAGACACACTATAGGACCCATCTTTCATACTGAAATGTATGGACCACAATGTGATCATAAGTTGACCAGATAAAGAAAGTTAAGGGGGTAATCATATATGGTAGATATGAAAAATATGATAAAGTTGTTCTTTCACATGTGTCCTAATAGACACGCTATACAACCCATATTTTTTATACTGAAAGGTATGGAGCACAATGTGATAATAAGTTGAGTAGATAAATAAAACAAAACTTTATTCTCAATTAACCATGTAAAGTCAAGGGGATAACCATATATGGTAGGTATGAAAAATAACTATAATTCTCACCAAACTCCTTATGCATACAAGGATTACTAACATTGTTTGTCATGTCTCATAAAAACACACTATAATTGTCATTTTTTATATTGAAAGTATTAAAACTAAACGTCATGTTCATATAAGGTTACTTGGGTAACTATTTATGGTAGATATGAAAAATTAAATTGTTATTTAAGTAAAATTAAACTAAAATCGTTACAATTATTAAAAATTCAATTTCTTCTATGTGTAACTCATTCAATCTTTAAATCCATTCATTTTGGTATCCAACAAATGTATTCACCAATTTCTAGCTTGATACATGTAGTAGTAAATATTGCTCATAATTACAGGAAAATAAATAAATAAATTAGACGAACCATCTTCCATTTGCATAGGCATTATGGTCAAAATAAGCAGTGGAGCATGTGGTTTAATTCGATGCAAAGCAAAGAATCTTACCAAGGCTTGAATGCCACGAATCCTCTTAAAAGAGAGGGGTGCTTTCGAGAATGCGGACACAGGTGGTGCATGACTGTCGTCAGCTCGTGCCATAAGGTGTTGGATTAAGTCCCACAACGAGTGCAACCCTCATGTTTAGTTGCTAAGATTGAGTTTGGAACCCTGGGCAGACTGCTGGTGATAAGCTGAAGGAAGGTGAGGATGACAAAGAACTATCGAGGGTTCAAACCCCTCTCTCTCCTCTTTCTCGGTGAATATATTTGTTTATTTTCGTAGTTTCTATCGGATTTTTTTTTTGTGTGGATGATCCAATGAGAAAGGTACAAATGAATATCTTATATTTGAGCAAGGAATTCTCATATGCGTAATTAACAACACAATAAAAAAAATTACTACACAAACTAACTTACAAACTTTGATTTTTTGTCTTTTTTTGACTCAGTTGATATAGATTCATTGACATATACTTTAATAATCTTTTAAAAGATAAGGATCGAATGATATTGCTTCTTTGGTCCAAACCAAGGAATCCCTTAAATATGATTCAAAATGGATCTTATTCTATTGTTGTTCAGAGACTTATTTATGAAAAATATAAATTGGAGTTTGAAGAAGGGGGAGTTGGATACCAAAAATTCAACATACTATAACCATTTAACTACGTATATCTAACAATATATATTTTCATGCATTTTGAATAATTGTAATACATGTCATATTCATAATATTGTTATACGTACATCAACCATCCCAACAAAATTACAAGTATGCTTTTGATTACTGTTGTACCTTTTTCTATTGTCAAATATATTTGTGGTGAACATGTATGACATAAATAATGACAAAAGGCCATTTGATGATGATGACGTTAGTTAGCCAACCAAATATTCAATCAAAAGAAGCTGCTTCTGGACCAAAATTCTTGTTATATTGTTAAAATAGTATAATTGAAAGACATTGAAATCTTTATATGTAAATTTGACCAAATTATATGTTGTAACACTGTAAAATTCTATATAATTACACACTTATGTCTTGCAAGTTAAAGAATAATTTTACTTGGATAAAAAAAGTGAATATTCTTTGATTATCCAAGCAGAAGATTTACCTTCTGCGAAAATTCATTTGTTGAATAACATGTGACTATCAAAAACCACCTAATAACATGCCAAAAGTCATAATATAGTTTTGTCAAAAAACGTTCAATGTAAATCTTTAAAAGCATTAACATCCCACAAACAATGGAAAACAATGAATTACATCAGAAGTGGATCATCTATCATTTGGGCCTCTAGCTCAATAAGCATCCCATAGGGCTTGTAGAGAAATGGAGAACTAGAGACCAGGATTGAGATGTAATCCATAATGAAGAGCCTGACTGCCATATACGATAACTAAGTTCTTATACCTTGAAAATATAGAGAGAAAGAAACTAAATTTTGTTATTGTTATAGTTATCTAGATTTGACAGTCGTATGAAGCTAATGACAGTTGTATCCTACTTGTAACTAACTACTAACTAACCTTGAGAGAAGTTGAGAGCATATCCTTTTGAAGAGCAGCTTCATAACATAGTATCAAAGGCCCTTGATTAATTGATCTAAACTTCAATCCATCCACCCCCATTCTTCTAATAAAAACTTGAGTTTTAACTCAAGGTAGGTGCACCCCAAGCTTGTCCATACTTCAAAGTCTAAAGGGTCGTTAAGCTTTTTGAAGAGTTTGTTTTTGACAGTTAAGAAAGTGGAATAATACTAATTCTTGAAGTCGGCTAAGGTAGCTAAATGATAACCTTCTATACCTTTCTTGGGTAAAAATTCGTAATTTACGTAGTTATAAAATTTCTTTATCAGGCTAGTACTGAATCTCTTTCTTTTCCATTATGTTTAACTTATTGATGTTTAAATTATATTTCAGGTGGTAAAGAAGGTTCCAGTTCTTGCTGGTGTGTACAACTAATCCCTTTCGTTGAATAGATTACTTCCTAAACAGGTGGAATCTATTGGATTCTCTGGGGTACAAAATTTTCCTACCGTGGGGTTATTTGATGGTAATTTTCAACAAAATCTTGAAGAAACAGAAATGGGATATTGGTGGGTATTTGGAAAAGAATTTCTCATATCATATTAGTTATACGATTACATCTCTTACCACTTCATTTTTATTTTCCTATTAAATTATCAGCTTGGAAGTTGAGATGATCCAGAAAGCTCATAAAATGGGTCTTTTGACAACCCCGTTTGCATTCAATCAACATGAAGCTATTAAAATGGCTAAAGTTGGCGGTGATAATATAGTGGCCCATATGGATCTAACTACAACAGGCTCAATAGGAGCAAAAATAGTTGTTTCACTTGAAGAAAGTGTTGTTTGTGTAAAGCTATTGCAGAAGCAGCGCATAGCATTAATCCCAGTGTCATTGTGTTCTGCCATGGGGTTATGCAAGTCACCTAAAAAGCTTTATGCATGCTCAATGCTTATTAACAGATAACTGAAAAGCATCTTCCCATATCTTATGTTAGAGCCATGTGTTGAATCATTTTATGTTTTCTATTCATATTGAAAGGCTTCTATTCTATTTGGGTTAAGTTGTGTATGGCGTACTCCAAAGAGTTGCAAAAATAAACCAAAAGAGAATAAAAGAAAAAAAGAAGGCATGGATGAGGGAGCGTTTCAGCACAATGGAATGGAAAAAGCTTTGATTTGTAAACAAAGAAAGATTGGACTTGAAGTTTTATAATGTGTTTTCATTTTCATTGTGTTAGGGTGCTCTGCTCATTAAGTTTTCAGTGATGAATGCAACATCTAACGAGAAAATTTTATGCAAATGTCTTTGCTGATTTATACTGAATTATTACTTGCATGCGTGATGGTTTTTGGTGTGAGAAATTTGTTCGTGAATGTATTTGTTGATTGGTTCATGGTAAATTTTGTGCCGGGGGATGTGAGCCATATCATCTTAGCCAGTTAAGTTGTGGTTCTTGTTTAACTTGTGTGCTAATTTCTAGTTTGTAGGGGGGAATGTTTCGCCAGTAACTTTTGGCTTCTAAAAAGGCTGAGTCTTGATTTAGCTATTGAACTTCACTACATCCACTGTTCACTGTTCTTAAGAGAATAGTTGTTTGTGTTCGCAAACTTATACTCCCAACTCAGAATAATGTACTGGGATATATACAAGTCCAATATTTGGTCAAAACCATTTATCCATTTATAATTTGAAAGTAATGGAGCACAAAAGATGGCCACATAAATAAAATAAAATTTCATGTTTAAGATAACCATGTAAAGTTAAGGGGATAACATATATGGTACATCCCAACTTTTCTAAAAGCATGTACATCCAATTTGTGAAGATCTAATAAGGTCACATTGATATTGCTAGATAAAGACATCAACCATCATCGCGATACAATGCATTAGAGTTTTTTAATTCATACAACCATATTTTTGAGTCACACCCCGGGAATGAGGCACAAAAGCTAAACCTAGATAAAATAGGTGAAACACTAGCCTGTAACCACTTGGGTGAGGGATAGAAATCAGGAAAAGAATGTAACAAAGGAGGTCGCGTTACCGAGAAAGAGTGAGAATGTAATAGTGGAGGTCGCGCTGCCGGGAAAGGTGAGAATGCAATACTGAAGGACATGCTACCAAGAGAGAGCGAGAACGCAACAATGATGGCACACTGCCGGAGAGTGCGAGAACACAAAAATCAGGGCGCGTTGCCGAGAGATAGTGGAAGGGATGCAAAGAATAATAGATTGTGAGCGACAACATAGTCTCAATGTCGCGAGATAGTGTGATGAAGAGGATCTTGTAAGTGCAGACAATGGAAGTGACAGACAACAAACAAAGTCAGAGATAAAAGACGACCAAGTGTTTGGATGGATTATAAATTATTTTAATATTACTTATTTTTAGGTGAGTTGACGTATAAACGAAAATGATTGGTTGACATTTAAACATCCAAACTACGATTTGGGGTTTAAAATATAATTTTATGGGTCTATTTGTAATTTTAAAGTCTAAAAATTGTAATTAAGAAATTGGTGAGGGTTTTTGGTATGAATGTGGAAGGATTTCATTTTGGAGCACCTTTCCCAGATGAAAATCAAAGCTGTGAAAGGCAGTCGCACTCTTTGGGAAAGGCAGTCACACTCTCTACTAAAGAAATTCTCCCGCTTTTATGAATCTTTGACCCTTGTTGCTCTCGTGAATTCCTTTCCCAACAGAGTTTTCAGACGAGTGCACCAAAGTTCGAATTTTTTTGTCATCGTGATTGTCTCCAGCATAGTTTTAATTTTGCATCCACTTTGAATATTTGTTACAGTTATCTAACCTTTTTTTTTTTTTTTTTTGTTGATATACATGGTAAAATAGTGTGCGGATGATTATCTGATGAGTCCCTCTTAGTCCTAGAGGTGGGATAAATAATTCCTACAAGGATTATTAGAAGAATGATTAGAACGGAGATTTTTTTTTTATTTTCCATCTTGAATTTATTTAGTATTTTTACTTAGTTTTTTTTTTCTTAAATTTTTTACTTATTTTCGCTCTTCTTTTGTAGACTCAATTTTTGCATTTCCTTTTTTAAGAATACCACTTTTTTTATTGGAAAAGAAGTCAGGCATCCATAGGATACATGCATGGGCAGTCCAAAGATGTAGAACACTCTTTTTTCATGTCCTACACTCCCTTTTGGAGAGAAATAAGCTTGAGATGCAGGATTGGTAGGTTTGAGATAACCCAAAAAGAAACACACCTCTTTTTTTTATGTTCTCCACACCTTTAGAGGTATTTTTGGTAGACTAGGATGAATTTAACATATTTGGATCATGGGGACTCTAACCTTTAGGTTTAAGTTAAGTTTATGTCTTCTTTTTGTAATTTCATCTAGGTCTCTCCCCCAAAAGCCTATAAATAGAAGGTTTTTCCTCATATAATTAGGTTAAACTTTTGTGACAAGTTTGTGAGGTTTCTTAGAGTGTTTCATCTCTTTGAATGTCTTATCTTAAATCTTGGTTTAAGTGGCAACAACACCACTTATCTAGGGTAGTTCATCCCCTAGTGGCATGCCAATACTCCACCACCACCACCACCATAGTTCTCTTCTCTTCATTTTTTCTTCTTTATTTTTTCACTCCATATATTTATCCAAGGGGCTGATCCATTTTCCAGCCCTTGTCTTTATTCTTTTCTAATTTCATTTCAACTCCTCCTTCTGCCATGATCCTTGGAAATGAACCTTCATATCTAGATAAACAATTATCTTAATGTCCAACGAAAATTTTCTTTGAGTTTGCTTATGTTATTGCTTAAAATTTTGCACATTACCTTCTTAAAATTCTGCACATTACTTTATTTTACATCATTTGGTATTTAGAACTTAGGTTGTTTCTAGTAAGGTATTCTTATTGTTGTTTTGACTTTATTCCTTGTGTAGCTTGCATTTTATGCTCTAACTTGTGTTTTTGTAGCCATTTTTTAGTTTGTGATGTTGCACTCAAAAGTTTGGGAGGTTGGTCCAATACTACACTCACCTAAGTTTCGTTTTATAGCATGTATGATGTTTGATAAAATGTCTAGCCAAAAAAAATGTATGCACTTGATTAAGTTACATATTCTTCCAAGTTTAGTGTCATTTTAAATGTGCCTAAGCTTTTGAGTTATGTCTAGTATATCTTATTGAAGTTTTCTTTTATTGGCTTCCAACACTTGAAATTGCGTGATGAATTAATTAGTTAAGTTCATGCATAATGAATTGATCTAGGATCCTAAACATAGGGACTAAGTATTCAAATTTTTTTTTCTAGCAAATTTAGAATCAAGTTAGAATCAAAATAAATTATATACTTTGCCTTTAGAAAGTTCTTGGTCGAGATAAAAAAAAGAAGAGTTACATTTGGTTAAAGAGATCCTATAGGCCAAAACACTTGTTTAAATTGTTCCAAAAAAAAAAAGTTTGACACTTATATGATTTGGTTCTAGACTTGTCATAACTCTTGATTGCATGATTAAAATTTGATAAATTAGTTCTAACATTGTAGGAATCTTAGTCTTTTTTATGTGCATGCTTGGCTGAAAATTTTGATTGCATGTTTTAAGTGTTTCTCAAATTTCTTTATAACTTTTCTTGCTTTAGTATTGTTCAAAGTTTTGTAAAAAAAAAAAAAATCACTCTTAGTATACCTTTCTTGTTTTTTTTTTGTGATTTTCTTGTTGTCTTAAGTTTTTTTACGTTTTGTCTTTGAAAGTTTTCTTTTTTTGAACTCTTAAGTGTTCTTGGTTGGCGTACATATTTCCACTTAATTGTCATTTTTCAAGAAAAAAAAAAGTTAAGACTTTAAAGAGAAAATTGGAATATTTAGAAAATTTTCTACTTGCAGAATGGAATGATCCTACCATTCAAACTTGTGTGAGGAGCCAAACACTTGAGTGACTTAATTTACATTTTAACCTTTCATCTTTCGTGTTTTGTGTTAGTTTAACTTGTTTTGCACACATGTGAAATTCCTCATGAGAAGACAAGCAATGTGGGGGCATCTAATGAAGGACAAATAAAAGGCCCAATAGAACAAACTCTGGTGGAATTAATTAAAGAAATGGAATTATCCCGAAAGGAAAGTGAAAGACATCTGAGGGAGACAATAAAAAAACTTGAAGCGGAGAAGTCCCAAAGAGAAAGAAGACGTTCATACTCATCAAGTTCCCAAGAAGAAAAAGATAGGAGATACCATGGAAGGAGACAATCTAGGCGCACGAACACTCCAAGAAGGAACAACATCAAGATACCCAAGTTTTACGGAGATAATGATCCAAAATTACCTAGACTGGGAGGCTAAAGTGGACCAAATCTTTAATGTAATAAACCCAGTAGGGGACTAGGAACAAGTAGATTTAGTTGTAGTAGAATTTAAGGGGTATGTTATGACTTGATGACATAAGGTTTGTAATGGTAATTACCAAGGGTCACCCGTGACTTCTTGGATAGACATTAAACATTTAATGCGCACTAGATTCGTTCCTTCCTACTATAGGAGGGAGTTCCTGTTGAAGCTCCAACAGGGTAATATGTATGTGAATGATTATTTCAAGACGCTAGAATCTTTGCTACTTAGGGTCGGTATGGATGATGAAACTCATGAGACTAAGGTAACTAGGTTTGTTAGTGGTATTAAAAGAAATATCCAGGACTTAGTAGAATTAAACGAATACTCTCAATTGAAAATGTTTTACATCTTATCTTGAAAATCAAAGCTCAATTGAAAAGAAAAGATGAGGCTAAATGGAGTTATTCGCATAATGACTACTACAGTTTAAATTGGAAGGACAAGGACAAGGAAAAAGAAAAACCAGAGAGAAACCCTTTCAAAGCTCTCCAAGAGGTATTCCTGTCGCTGCCGTCAAAAGAGGCGGTCGGAGCGACGCGATGGTCTTGATGACTCGCATTTTTTAAAGAAGTGGTTCAACGCCTTTAGGTTGTCCGATAACTGGGTTGGACCTAAAGGCGAGGTTTTCGAAAAGGTTCGAGGAGTCGCCACAATTATTTTTACCAAAAACATTGGAAAAAGAAAAGAAGACGATGTTTTTTAAGAAAAATCAACTTTGGTTATTACAACCAGAGTTAGATAAGGAAGTTAGTTACGTGTGGAGAAGGTATTAGCTTCCCCATGACGCCCCTTACGGGTTTCCTATGATGGACTGTTTTTATAAAGAAATAAGAACATTAAAACTACGCTTTTACCCTTATTTATTCATTGCAAAATTTAAATTATTGACTATATGTCCCTTAATAACTAATGCACAAAGATAGTAACTGTAGACCCCTAATTTTGCCCGGTCTCTCAAATAAAGACAAAAAGATCACCCATAACAAGATAAAGCTCGTCCAGCATTACAAATAAGAGCCAAGAAGACTTCCTGTATGAAGATAAAGCTTCAACAGACACCTATCGGCATCAACTGACGTCCGAAACAGGAAAGGAAAGCTTCCCGGGGTCCCGAAACGCGAAAACTGGGCAAAACAGGTCAAGACGGCCGTCCCAAAGTTGGGACGGCCGTCCTAACCTGCCAGAATCAAGTGGGACGCACGTCCCGAAGGTGGGACGGCCATCCCAAAGCCCAATTTAAGTGGGACGGCCGTCCCGGGTTCCCAGATAGTCTCGCCCTGTGTAAAATTGCCATTTGGGACGGCCATCCCAGTCCAGACGACCGTCCCAACCCAGATGGCCGTCCCAAAGCGCGCCAGCTGCGAAAACTATAAATAGGAGGCTCATTTGCCACTTTTTGACAGCAACGTACACTCCGCAGAGCTCGAAACACCTTAAAAAACTCGGAGCACTTGTCTACTTCTCTCCCTCTCTCGAATGATCTTTCCGATCGCCTTAAATAGGTAACAATCGGTTAAGGAATTATATTCCGGCATTTGATTCTTCTTTAAATTTTTAGTGGAGTCGATCTTGTATTGGTGAGGAGAGTCTCGTGTAGAGAGGGGTTGCCAAAACGCATCCTCACAGTTCGAGATTCTCAATATAAAGCTTGCTACGGAGGTTCTTTTCAATTCTCTTCTCTTTTATTGCTTTATTTATTGTTTTATTTAGCTTTATTTATTGTTTACGCCATGTAGAATAAAATCATGTAGATAGTCATTTTAATATCTCTTTTATTGCTTTATTTAGCTTTATATAAAATTATGTAGATAGCCATTTCAATATTATGCAATAAAATAGGGTAATCGCGTAATTTCTCGAAGTCTTCTCTTAAAACGAATTGATCTG